TGTGTGTGTGAGAGCAAGAGGAAGTATGTGTTTGTGTGCGTAAGCATACACTCAGGACCCTCTCTGTCTTAAACTGACTGGACAAATCATCCAATGTTACTTAATTCCACTTTGTGTCAATTTGAATAAAAACTGGGAAAAACCTAGTTTATATTCATAAGGGAATAAAAGATGAAATAATGCCACTGCAAGAAATAAATCCTGTTTTCAATATTCATGGATTCACCTAGCATGGTCCAGGGGTTGGTGGTGACATTTGAGACAACTTTGTTGCTACTTTTGTCATATATTTGTGTTCAGTGATTTTAATGCCCATCATACCAAGTGGCTTAAAAATGCTATTACTGACTTTGCAGGCATTCAAACCCTTAATTTTTCAATTTCTCAATCCCTCACACATATAGTCGACTTCCCCACATGTTTTCCCTACAACCGGGATGGTAAGGCTTCTCTTCTTGATCTATGTTTTACCTCCATCCCCAAGTCCTGTAGCGTCACACAGCTCTGCCCTCTTGGCAATTCTGATCATGCTGTAATGTCTATCAATATCTCCTTCAACTCCAACCCCTGCAAAGAACCTCCTACCACTAGAACCTCATTCTGCTATCAATGAGCAGACTGGGACTTGTTCTGGGATTTCCTTCGCGATATCTCCTGGAATGTTATCTTTACAGACTGCATTCAATAATGTGCTTCCAAGGTCTCCTCCTGGGTTAAAGCTGGAATCAAGGCTTTCATCCCCTCAAGGAAATATAAGGTCAAATCACGTTCCTCCCCTTGGTTCTCCGCTGCTTGCTCAGCTGCCATTGCCCATAGGAAACACTTCTTCCACCTATATCATAGCGACTGCAATAGACGTCTCTTTGTCTCTGCCCGTAATGAGTGTAAGCGTGTCCTCAATGATACAAATTATCTATTTGCTGCTCGAATGAAAGAACATATTGCATTTCGCAAATTCGGCTCCAAGGATTATTGGCGTCTCTGCAAGAGCATACTTAACAATAGCAAACCCTCTATACCACCTTTGTTCAACCAGTTCGAGGTTCTGACCTCTTCCGCTGACAAAACTGAATGCTTTGCTCGGAAATTCTCATTCAACGCTTGACTCTTCCAGTGTATCCACACCTGATTTCTCCCTTAGAACTGAGGCTCTATTGAGTGAGCTGCACATAACCCCATCATTGGTATTGGGCATTATCTCTAATTTAGATCCCTACAAGGCTAGTGGTGGAGATGGGATACCAGCCATTGTCCTGAAAAAATGTGCGTCTGAACTAGCTCCTGCCCTCTCCAAATTATATAACTAGTGCCTTAATGAATCTTGTTTTCCAGACTGTTGGAAGTCCTCATCCATTGTTCCTGTCTTTAAGAACTCTAGTGACTCTTCTGACCCTTCTAATTACCATCCTATCCGTCTCCTACCCCTGTTCGGCAAAGTCTTCGAAGCTTTAATCAACACCGAAGTGGTTAGGCACCTTACATCCCATAATCTGCTCTCCGACAAGCAATATGGTTTCTGCTTTCCCTGTTCTACAGCTGATGTGCTTACGACCATAACTGAAATTGTTTACCAAGCCCTTCATAATAACGGAGAAGCTTGTGCCATGACTCTAGCATTTGATATGGTTTAGCATGCTGGCCTTCTTCACAAGCTTCAGGGTTATGGAGTTTCAGGTCGATTGCTTTGACAATCATTCCTGTCAAACTGTGTATTGAAGGTCATTCTCAACGGATTCTCCTCCAGCTCCTATCCCACGAATGCAGGTGTTTCCCAAGGCTTCATCCTAGGCCCTACTCTGTTCCTTATCTTCATCAACGATCTTCCTGACGTCATAGATTCCCAAGTAGGCATCTACACGGACAACACCACTATTTACTCCTGCCTCAAAAACAAATCATGTGTCGTTGACAAAACTAACTTGGCCATTCATTTTGAAAAGGACCTCCATTCAGTTGTGAACTGGGGTAGGAATTGGCTGGTTAACTTTAATGCCTCAAAAACAAAACTGCTCTCTATTATTCATCACAGAGACCACCCCCCCATTAGAATGTCTGATGCTCAACTTCTTGGGAGCTCCTCTTTGCGACTACTTGGTGTCACATTGACTGCTGACCTGAATGGAACAAATACATTGAGTCTATAGCTTCGTCCACCGCAAGGAAAGTTGGATAACTGTGCCATGCCAGGAAATTTTTCTCGCCAGACTTGATCCTTCAAATCTACAAATCAACCATTCGCTCTTGCATGGAATATTGCTGCCATATATGGTCCGGTGCCCCTTCTGTTTGTCTCAAGGTTCTTGATAAGATCCAGAGATGCATATGCAATGTAATTGGCCCTGATCTGGCATCTTGTCTGCAGTCCCTCTCTCACAGACGTGCTGTCGCCTACCTCTGTCTTTTTTATAAATACTTTCATGGTAACTGCTCTGATGAGGTGCTTTCGTTGGTTTGCAGACTTCATGAATTTAAGCATTCTACTAGGCTGGCATCTTGCTCACACCCTTTCACTTTCAAAAGTGTTAAATGTAGCCATCTCTTCTACTCCAATCGCTTCATGTCTTGCACCTCTCGCCTGTGGAACTCCTCTTTTCCTGTTTCTTAACTATTCAAATGTAATGTCAATTGACGTCTCCAGATGCTTTGATCTATCCCCTATCCTTCTCTTCATCCTCTCCTCTATCACTCCTATTTACTCTCGCTCCAACTCTCTGTAACCACTTGCATTGCATGCTAGCGGCTTCCCGCCTTGCTTGGGGTGAAACGCTTAAAAAAAAAAAAAAAAAAAAAAACAGACCTTCTCTTTGGCCAGTGAGAACTTTAACTCTATCTTACCACTTTTCTACCCATCTCTACAATATATTGCACAGCTTGCAACTCCCAAATGAGCAGCCTGGAACTACTGATAATTCTGTGACTTTACTTATATTAGCCTCCAACTGGAACTTCTTAACTTCCAGCCATGTGACACTTGATCTTGAAAGTTTTATTTCACTTCTTTTCAATCTACTTGTACACAGATGGTTGCTTTGAAGAGTTTACTTTCTATGCAGTAATAAAACCCAATCTAGATAAAATCATTTAGGACACTTTGTGTCCTAATCACAGCCACAAGCCATTGTGTCACATATATGAGAGAGCATGTGTTTGCTTGTATTATATGTGTGTATGTGAGGAAACACATCAGTTAGTGTTTTCTTGAATTGTACATGTGTGTGAGAGAGAAAAATGTGTGTGTCTGTAATGAACCATGTTTGCTTACATTTTAGGCAATTGTGTATAAACTTGAGTGTATGTTTGCATTGTAGGCACAAGAATTGTGCTTTCATGTTGTTTTGAGTATGTGTTTGCATTGTATACATACATTAATTTTTTTCTTTTTGGTAAATAAAAAAACTATTTTAACAAATGTTTTGTAAAATTCATAATAATTCAGTTAAATTATTAAACCAGCAAGTTTTCTACCAGATAGACAACAGGTTTAGATCAATAAGAAGTCCGAGGAAATTCCTTTTCATTGCACTATTAAAAGTATTTATTTTTTGTATGTACCTTTCTTTAGTATTTACTAATATACTTAAATGTTACAAGAATATAATTGAAATTTCATTTGGCCTCACTATAACTATTATAAACTCTGATCCATTCACTCAAGAGTTTACCTTTTGTAACCAGAAAATTCATTGCAGAAATAGTTCAATTTTTGAATTTTGAAAGAATATCTGCTACTTTATTTTATTATATTTACCTAGTAATTAATATTTAAAATGTCATTGAGATTCTTTTGCATTATAAACTGTTTAAAAATAATTTTATTAAATTCACTAATTTTTTAACAGGTATCTACTTATCTAATTTAAAAAGATATATTTTATGCCAATTAATCCAAAAATGAAAGCTTTTATATTTTAAAATAAATAATATTCAAAAATAATCTAACGATCTCTACTGATTGTACGAATCCAAACATAAGATAATTCTTTAGGGCCGTTTTTATAATTCCCTTTGCAATTTGGTACAAGGCAACGATAATGAATTGGTTCTATTTGAAATTAATTCAATATTTAAAAGAAAGTATTAAGAAATAATTTAAAAATGCCGACGTAAGAAATCTGATAGACAAAAAAAAACAAAATATTTCGAAGATGAAAATTATTAAGGAAAGAACACAGTACTTAACTTGTACCCGACTTTTCTGCTAAATTCCTTTTTTTTTTTTTTGGTTCCTGCAGGTAAGTCTTTTACGAGGGGCTTCTGTATGTCTTGCTTAAGGGTTTACGAGAATTTTCGTCGTTTCATCAGCGAACTTCGACTCATAATTGACATTTTAAACTTCAATAATTGTCCACACGTTGGTGCTTTTCGGGCGCCAAGGTCATCCCCCTCCTCCTCTTACGGACGGCCTCCATACACGCACTAACGCAACAGGATACGCAATATTCGCTAAGAGAGAGAGGGGGTATTCTCACTCTCTCTTCTTTCATGTAAGGTTTGTGTTGAGAGGGGACGGTCACTATTACCGACCTTTTCCCTACATTAATGACAGCGATATCTACCGTGATTTCCTCTTTCGCTGGCCGATTTTTTTAATAGAGAGTGGAACGTCACTCAAGGTCAACCATCTCTACTGCGTGACTCGGGCGTGCTTTCACACTTTTGCGTTTATTGTTGCCCACGTGCACGTACTTGGCCTACTTTATTCGCCAACTTCGGATACCGCAATTTGTTATTACGTGTTCTAGCTGCTTTTTTGTTTTATAGTTCCAACCCAACCCTACACACGTTAGCCAATTGTACTAAAAACCCATTTCCTTTTGGATTTTTACCCTTGGTTTACCTTTTTAAATTTCCACTTTTTAGTTTCGAGTTCCCCTTGAGTAACATCTGAACTCATTTTACTGGGTGTTTCCCTTTTTGTGTCTACGTTAGCAGTGCACGATTTTTGGATTTGTCGAAATCTCTTTTTAAGCTTTACCCTCTTTGACGTTTTTACTGTTTGGATGCCACCTAAAAGGAGGAAACTTTTGGGACGGCGCACGGCAGCTGCCTCCGCTGCTAGAGCAGCGAGGGCGAGTGAAACCCCTGAACAGACTTCTTTGCGTCTTTCACAGATGGCCTCGAGCTCAGCTGCTCGCTTATCCATGGAAAGCGCCGCTGCGCGGACTGAAAGGTTGGCTTCAGCGGCTTCAACTATGTCCTCACGCCGCGCCAGGCTTTCAGTTGAAGAACGTTCACTTCAGAATTCACAGGGCGCAGTCCGCGTGGCTAGGTTGAGGGCTTCACAGTCCCCAGCACAGAAAACCCTTCGTCGTTTGCGTGATGCCATCGTCAAAGCTTGCTCCAGGAGTTTAGAAAGCCCCGAACAAACAACTTCACGTCGTCATAGGAATACTAGGGCTACAGCCGCCTCTAGAGCTTTGGAACAACCTCAAGAAACCGCTCATCGTCGCTTTAGAAATGCCCTATCCACCGCATCTGCCAGAGCCTTAGAAAGCCCTGCACAGACCACTGTTCGTCGCATTATAAATGCCCGCTCCACTGCATCTGCTAGAGCCCTAGAAAGCCCTGCACAGACCACTGTTCGTCGCGTTAGAAATGCCCGCTCTACTGCATCTGCCAGGGTTGCAGAAAACTCTGAAGTACGCCGTCAACGGCTCGAAAACATTAGCTCATTTCGAGCTTCTTTGAATGGCGTAACTTCGCCGTCTGCATCATTTTGGTCAAATGTCGCATACAATTATGACTGCACTGTCAACTATTCCGCTAGGAGAGACGTACAAATAGGGGCCATGGATAAAGTTTGCACTTTTTGCAACGCAAAAAAGTGGGCCGGTGAGCAACCTGGGCTTTGTTGCTCTGGGGGCAAAATCAAACTCCCTTCTTTAGACGAGCCTCCCCAGCCACTTAGGGACCTCCTTCTGGGTACAACTTCGGAGTCAACGCATTTTCTTGAAGCAATACGGAAGTATAACTGTTGCTTCCAGATGACGTCTTTTGGTGCGAAGGCTATTAGTGAAGGGGGATGGATGCCTACTTTCAAAGTGCAAGGCCAGGTTTACCACTTAATGGGATCACTTTTGGCTGATCAGGGAGAGCCACCTCAGTTCCTACAAATTTACTTTCTCGCAGACTACAATGAGCAGGTTGATGCGCATCTCGGCATTCTGCCTAGCGATATTTCCATTGGTCCCCGTAGAGACATTCTGTTCCGTCTACAAGACATGCTTCACGAAACTAACAGTTACATCCGAAGCTTAAAGTTTGCATTGCAAAACAACTCTTTGCCCTCTTTCAGTGTTGTCATTGATGCAGACAGACCGCCTCACGGTGAGCATGAGCGTCGCTTCAATGCTCCTGTATGTAATGAAATTGCCGCAGTCATCCACGGTGAGGAGCATAACAGCCGTGACATTGTCATAAAATACCAGGGCGGTGGTCTGCGCTGCATCAGTGAACTCCACCTTTCATACGACTGTCTCCAGTACCACTTTCTTTTTCCATACGGAAGCGATGGGTACCACTTCAAAATCCCAATATGCCAGGCAAGCAGCGATTCCATGTCGACCTCAAAGACAGTCTCCTGTAGGGCTTACTACGCCTACATGTTTATGGTTAGGGAGGGTGAATTTAACCACTTGCATAGGTGCCGTCAACTATTTCTTCAATTCGCTGTTGACATGGCTGCAAAAATGGAGTCGGAGAGGTTAGGATTCATCAAGTTAAACCAATCCAAACTTCAAACTTCACACTGACTTCATGATGGTCTGCGTTCTGATGGTGACCCACTCAATCTCGGCAAACCGTGCATTTTGCCTTCCTCTTACACTGGTGGCCCTCGATACATGCATGAAAGGACACAAGACGCAATGACCTATGTCCGTCATTGTGGGAGGCCTGATTTGTTCATCACGTTCACGTGCAATCCGAAATGGGTTGATATTACACGCGAACTTTTTCCAGGTCAGCAGTACTCACACCGCCCTGACCTAATTGCCCGCGTTTTCCGGTTACAGCTGCGTAAGCTTATGGATTTGATCCTTAAAGGGCAAGTCTTCGGACGCGCCAAGTGTCATATGTACACAGTGGAATGGCAGAAACGCGGTTTGCCTCATGCCCACATCCTGCTGTGGCTCAACGATAAGGTTGACGCAAACAAAATAGACGATTTTATTTCTGCTGAAATTCCGGATCCTGCGCTGGAGCCTTTGCTCCACGAAATCATTAAAAAAAATATGATACACGGCCCCTGTGGTGCGAATTACGAAAAAAGGTCATGTTGGTCAAGCGGCCCCACTTGCGCAAAGGGTTACCCCCGTAAGTTTATCTCAGAAACGCAGACTGCGACGGATGGTTACCCACTGTACAGACGTAGAAGCCCCGCTGAGGGCGGCAGAACTGTGACAGTTAAGGGGCACACTCTGGACAATAGTTGGGTGGTGCCTTATTGCCCGCTGCTGTCCAAGACTTTTGGAGCCCACATAAACGTTGAATACTGCCACTCGGTTAAGTCAATAAAGTACATCTGCAAGTACGTTAATAAAGGCAGCGATGCTGCCGTCTTCGGTATCCGGCGCGACAATTGCGTTGACGAGGTGGCCGATTACGTGGCTGGACGCTATCTCAGCAGTAGCGAGGCCTTTTGGCGAATTTTCGGATTCCCCATACACCAAAGGGCTCCAGCCATTGTGCAGAGGATGTACTTCACCGAACAAAACGCCCAGCAGGTTGCGGAAAACCCTAAAGACACAACCCTAATGGCTTTCTTTAAATTATGCTCAACAGATGCTTTTGCCAAAACATTGATATACCCCCAAGTCCCGTCCTACTATGTGTGGTCAAACAACCGGTGGGTTCGACGAAAGGCTGGTGACCCTGTCGAGGGTTATCCCGATGTAAGGTCTAACTTTTGCCTTGGACGCGTTTATACTGTGCCCCCCAGCCAGCAGGAGTGCTTTTACCTCCGCCTTCTACTTCATGAAATTGCTGGGCCAACGAGTTTCACAGATATTCGCACTGTCAAAGGCATAGAATGCCAGTCTTATAGAGAGGCATGCTTCCGTTTGGGATTGCTTGAAGACGACTCCCAATGGGATGCAGCCATGGCGGAGGCTGAACTTCTCAGAACGCCATCACGGCTTCGAACGCTATTCGCCATTTTGCTTTTGCGATGCGAACTAAGCGATCCTCTGTCGCTCTGGCTAAAGTACAGAGAATCCATGTCAGAGGATGTGCTGTTCTCCGTTCAGCGTAACAGCCCAGGAGTTGAATGCGGTTTCACTGACTTCATATTCAACAGAGCGCTGGTGGCCCTAGAAGATGTTGTTTTCGAACTGGGAGGTGCCTCTTTACCAACTTACGGTTTACCACCACCGCTCAGAGATGGTTTTGACACTGTACCAACTGAGTTATTGCGGGAAACATCCTACTCCATCGAGGGGCTGAACGCATACATTACCGAAAATGAGCCCAAACTTCTACCTGATCAGAGGGTTGCTTTCACTACTATAACAGACAGGGCAAACGGCGCCATTGGAGGTATATACTTTTTAGACGCGCCCGGAGGAACTGGCAAAACTTTTGTTACTAAATTAGTCCTGGCAGAGGTACGGCGTCGTGGGGAGATCGCTATTGCGGTCGCATCTTCCGGGATTGCTGCAACATTGCTACCGGGAGGTAGAACCGCTCATTCGGCTTTTAGGTTGCCGCTTGATCTATGCCGGTCACAAACTCCTCTCTGCAACATAACAAAGAATTCGCCACAGGCTGAAGTTCTGCGGAGATGCAAACTTATAGTTTGGGATGAGTGCACGATGACACACAAGGGCGCCCTTGAGGCACTTGACCGAAGTCTCCAAGACATCCGCGACTCCTCCGACCCCATGGGTGGAGTAACACTTCTCCTCGCAGGCGACTTTAGATAGACTCTACCTGTTATTCCTAAAGGTACACACGCTGACGCTGTCCACGCCTGCCTGAAGTCGTCTGCCCTTTGGCACCACGTGGAGACTCTTAAACTGAGCACGAACATGCGTGCCTACTTGAATGGGGACTCCAGATCCGCTGACTTCGCACGGGACCTTCTTGCTCTTGGGGAGGGGAAAATGCCATCTGACACACACGGTTTTGTGAAGATGGATCAGCTTGCCACCACTGTTGAATCACCGGATGTATTGATGAATGCAGTCTTCTACAACCTATCATCTAATTTTGCCGATGCCGATTGGCTTGCTGGGAGGGCCATATTGGCACCGAAGAACTGTACAGTTGATTCCATCAACCTTAAACTGTTGGATTGCATTCCCGGGCAATGTCATGTTTATAAGTCCATCGACAGAACTTCCGATCCATCTGAATTAGCTGAGTATCCCATAGAAGTTTTGAACTCCCTTCAGCCGTCCAGACTCCCACCTCATATTCTTCGTCTCAAAGTTGGTGCTCCAATTATGCTAATCAGGAATTTGCTCCCACCTAAACAGTGCAACGGGACTCGCCTCATTATTAAATCCCTTTCTCCGAACCTGATTGAGGCGACCATTGCAACTGGCTGCGGCAAGGGGGAAGTCGTTCTGATTCCCAGGATGCATCTTCTGTCGTCAGACGCAAGCATACCAATCAACTTTCGTCGCTCACAATTTCCCGTGAAGATTTGTTTTGCTATGTCGATTAACAAATCACAAGGACAGACGCTTAGCATCGCAGGTCTGCATTTACGTGAGCAGTGCTTCTCTCACGGCCAACTTTACGTTGGGTGCTCACGAGTTGGGTCTAAGGACAGGGTTTTCATTTACTCTCCCAACAACTGTGCTAGAAACATAACCTACACGGAGGTCCTGTAGACAACCCGCCCGGTAGCGTTTAAGCACCATGCACACATATGCAGTCCGATTGCATAGCAATTTTTTGTTTGTCATATTTATTTTAAAGTTAGGTCATCGTAGTCTCCACTTGCCATTACTAAGACGCCTTTGTAAAGGTTATCCAGCACTTTTGCTGCCTTCTGACTTTCATACCATCACCCGCCATCATCGCGTTTGTTTTCCCTTCAATCCCTATGTATGTTGCAACTGAATCGTGGTTTCAGGACTACTTACCACAAGTGCTTTCAGTAATGCTTAACGATCCAATAGGTTAAAGCAGTAACTGCTGCCAGCTTACTCATAGATGTCTTAGTAATGGCAAACGGCTTTCCGTTACTTCCTTCGATACCTTCGAATACTTGGGCTTATTTAAGTTTTGCATTTATGAAGTGCTTCTGAAAGGTTATCAACTCAACATACTTCCCAAAATGTAACCAAATGACCAGACATCAATTTTTTAAGGTTTTCTTTGTTATCAATACATCCATTAAGTACCATATATACTCGGGTATAAGCTGACTTCATGTATAGTCTAAACCCTGAATTTTTCTGCATGATTTTTAACATCTTCAAAAAATTACTTGTGTATAGTGTGACCATCCCCCATTTTTAGTTTTAAAAAAACTCAATTATATATGGTATGTTGGTTTTAATATTATCTCAACTTATGATTTCATAACTGTAGACCAATTTCAATCATCCATCATCAATCATTGGTATATTAAACAGAAGATCAGTGAACTGTTTGGATTACTGAGCCTTGATTGATCAGCACAATTAGATAGCATTACTTACACTAAATCTTATATTGCATTTAACACACATTACTTTGTTAGAAGATATACTTAACTGATTAACTGTTTCTTAAAATTGAATAAATTGATGACTAATAACAGTATAAAATTGTTTTTCCTTAAGCTCCAGTCATGTTCACTTGAGTGTTATTCAGATACTTCTTTTGCTAATTTTCCTGAAGGATGGAGGTTCTTGATGGGCTTTCAGAATATTTTTAAAGGATAACAAGTCAGTATTGCCCTATTTACTGGCAAACTAAAAAAATGGATAATTTGTCAAAACCATCTTACATCTTTTTGCATATTATAATTGTATTACTCGATTTGTTTATCTATCATTTCAAATTTCTGCTAAATGAGGAAAAAAATAACCTGTTAATTTTTGTCAACTTGTCCAAAAGTACCACACAATTACTACTTACTTTTGAAATCCTGCTACATATTGCCGCAATATTAAAAACCTTCAACATTATCTAAAATTGCTATCTAAACACAGGCTGTCCATGCTTGTTCTTGCTAGAACAATTAACAATGCTATTTGTTTAATATATAGATTTCACAGTAGATACTGTATAGCACACTTTCCTGGTTGATTTGTATTTTCAATTCTATATATAGTTATTTTATGTAATATCTACTTACCTACCCTTTTCTGCTTTCAAAGCATTCTTCTTTTAATAGCACAGCTAGCCTCTTTTTATTTGAATATTTTTCCAAGGTCAAGATCTCCCCTTCTCTCTCAACTTGGAATAGAAAACCTGTAAATGCTTACAATGTGTTGTCATTGAACAAAGTTATCATCTGTGATTTTGGTCCGGTTTGTTTTTGTGGGGAAAATAGAAATGGCTTACCTCCCAAACGCCCTCGCGTCTGTCTGGCCTGTGGGTTGAGAAAAGAAAGAAAAGATCCAAGATGGCATCCGTGACTTTTTAATATTTACAGTCTCGTGCAGTCACGCAAAGTCGCATTACACTCATGCTAATGAGGTGTGTCTGGGCTTGGAGAAATTGGCAGAAGGGCATTACACCCGTGTTTGGTGTACATTGCTTTGCATTGCAGCGTGTCAGACATTTTCCGACGGAAAGAGTTGTGTCCCTTACACTGTTGAATTTGACTCCTTTGCTACAAGCTATTTCAGCTATTATTACAACATGGACAGATTCGACTTGAAGTTGACACCAGAGTTCGACGGCTCCCCGCTGGCCCGCTCTGTGGTCGAGTGGTGGGGAAAAGGCCGAGCGGGTCTGCGGCTGTGTAAAATTAAAGATCCCGCACTGGTCATCCCTCTTAGGCTCACCAAAGGAGCTTATGCTGTGTATCAGCAGCTCAGGGATGACGCGAGACTTGGAGGAAATTAAACAGGCTCTATGCAGCATGCAGATCCCTTTGTCGCCTGGGAGGCAGTTCACCGGCAGCTTGGGCCAGATGAAATGGTAGATGTCTTTCTGGCCGATTTGTGACGAAGCTGGCCGCACTGCTCGGGTGGAGCAAGCGACCAAATTAGGATGTGCTTTCTGGCAGGACTCCCAGACAAGTCGATCTGCTACGAATCGCCAAGGCTCAATGAGCTGGGGCTAGACGAGTTACTGGCCAGAGCCCGGAATATTCTAAAGGATGACGCGGAGTCGGTCTCAGCAGCTGTGGAAGCACCCGCACCGCCAACTGAGGACATAAGGTGCTATAAATGTGGCGGACTGAACCACTTCTCCAAAGACTGCCGAAGCAAAGCGAAGGATACGACAACCGAGGAACACGGAGACGTATGCGTTGCTACAGGTGCGATGTTGGGCCACGTGGAAGCTGTCCAGGAAACGTGCAAGGGGAATAAGCTACAGCGCCAGTCTTCTCCCAGATCACCGCTGAACAAAGGCGCTACCCGCAGTGAGCGTGCAGATTAACAGGCGTGAGCGCTTAGCGCTTGTTGACACCGGGTCCACCCAGACCCCAGCGCAAGGCATGTTGTGACACGTGGGCGAGAAAATATTACAGTTCTGACTGTTGGCGGGGCTTGCTAGCCTCTTGTTGTGGAGGCGCCATTCGCGCAAGCATTCTGATAGGCCTGCAGTAGCTGTACAAGCCCTGGTCGTGGACGGAGGGCTGCTCTATGATCTGCTCCTGGGAATGGGCGTCATCAAAAAAATTGGGTGGCATCCATGTTGACGAAGAGGTTCAGGTGCGTTTCACTGAAACAGGTTTTGCTCTAGGTGCAGCAATGGAGCTGAACGGCCTGACTTTCGCGGCGGTTCGACCAGCGCACAGTCCTGGACGGTATCCTGAAATGGTCGGACGATCAACCGCCAGAGAAGCTGCAAACAGTGTGCGGAGTATAAAATCCCCCCACGAGCTTGTCGCGGAGTAATGATAAGGAGTTGTGAGCCTGGATTAATAACGGATGGTTGGTTCCTTATCCAGAGAAGGAATTGGGGCCCCGGCGGCCTGATCCCGCTTAATGGCGGTTCTCCAGCACAACAAACAAAAGGTGAGGCTGGTGCTCGACTATTGGGAACTGAACGAGCACGTGGACCCTTTTACAGCCCGTGCGGATGTGTGTACCGAGAAGCTAAGGGAATGGCGACAAGCGGGATCAAATGTATCTGTGCTGGATCTTCGCAAGGCATACCTTCAAGTGTGTGTGCACCAATCACTGTGGCCCTATCAAACT